AATATAAACTATTTTTAATTTAATATAAAAAAAAAAAATTTAAATTTGTAATTTAATGATACAAATATACAGTTAGAATATAAAAACTGAATTTATAATCAATTTATATTATTGACAGATATTTCAACCTTTAAATTAAGTGCAATATTATTCCAATTAAATAAAAATAAAAACAATCATATAATCGCATATGTTTAGTCAATTTTTTTTATATTTTTATATAAATTTAATAATTTAATAATTATAGTCTGGTGCAAAAAGATTTGTACATCAAAAAAAATATCAATAAAAAATTTTTTAATAAATTAAATTTCATTTTTTTTTATATAAATCTTATCAGTATATATTCAGAAATATTATAATATCATTATTACACCAAATTGTGCATTACCATCGGATTCACTATAATTATTAGATTCTTTATTAATTAATTAGACATTTTTGTTAGCCTTAAAATATACTAAAATATGCCTTGGTATTTTAAGCACTTTTTTCTAAAGTTCATTATAATCTTTAAGTTAACTTCATTTTTTAATGCATTTAAAAGTATATTTCAAACAGGCAATAATTTAAGATCTTACAATTTCACCTTTTACAACTGCTTAAACACCTTCAATTGGCTGTAGTTCATAGTAATAAGTGACATATAAAAACTTCATGATTATATTGTTTTGCTATTTTAATGCAAGAAAATGGTAACATTTTCTTGTGCATTTAAACCAGCTCCAATAGTTCTAGTTTTTGTAATTCATTTGAAAAACAATATTGACTTCCAGTTTTTCATACTTGAAGTTAGATTAGGCCATCCAAAGTGTTTTATGTGATGTAAATGTGCAATCACTGTATTTATTCCAGTCTAATGCAATGCTCCCAACTGTACTCTTGGTACAATTAGTGTTTCAGCAACTTATTTGCATAATTTAAGTTCCAGATGACTTTCTTTTATAAAATTAGCCTTTGGAAGATAATTATGCATACTTTATTATCATTAGTTTTTCATTGTCTGTTAGTGGTATGCCACTTCATTTTAAGGAAGAAGAAAGTATCATATAATAAAAAAAAATTTTAGCAGCAAATTTAGGCAATTATTTACTAATAAATATATAAATTCCAGCCCGTTATGTTTAGTTTTACAAAATTTTTCTTTGGCATAAATCTTATCCTTTTTTAGTGATGTACAAATAGGATCCCGAACAATACTAATATAGGAGCTGAAGATGCATCACCATCTTAGTGGCTATTAATATGTTAGAATTTGGAAATGCGTACAATCATCGAAAAATTTTGATAAGGTTAGAATTTGATTTTGCGTAATTTTGATTGGATTTTAGAATGGTAAAATGTTAGATTTGCTTATTGTTGGTACATTTTTGGATTTTTTTTTCAAAAAAAAAAATCTTTTTTGTATTGTATACATAATGTTTCATTAGAAATATGGTAAAGAGCGATTGGCTAAACATAAATACGTTGCTCATATTATTAATGCAAAAAAAGTAGAATGTATATGTGGAAAAGATCAAACTAAACTGCAGATATGAAGTAGATTATTTAAATAGACATGTAGCATGTTCAGGAGTATCAGAAATTTCTATTGGTAATATTTTAAGATTAGTAAGATTAGTAGGTAATGAAAAAATATTATTTTGATTATTTTAGAAGAAGAAATTATTAGTGCTCTACATGAGCCAAGCCAGCTTGTGAGCTTTTGAGCTGAGCCACGTCAAGCCAAACCAAGCTGCAGTTATAGCTTGGCTTGGTGCTGGCTTAGCTCGATTTATTGTAAATTAAAACTAAAGTTTCAAAACGCGATAACTTCGCCAATATTGCTCCAAATTTAATGAATTTACCACCATTTGATTCCTCTTGATGAGACGAATCTAATGGTAGTAAAATCATTAAATTTGGAGCAATATTGGCGATATTGGCGAAGTTATCACGTTTTGAAATTTTAGTTATAATAAATTTTATATGATTTTGAAAATGAGCTAGCTTGTGAGCTTTTGGAACAAGCCAAGCTGAGCCAAACTAAGCTAGCCCTTGGCTCGGCTCAAGCTGGCTCATGTAGAGCCTTAGAAATTATTGAAAAGATGATTGAAAAAATCTTAATAAAATGTACTGATAAAACTAATAAAAGAGCCAATTAAAATTTTAAAAACTGACTTGAAGTTAGAGGATTAGAATGCATATTTTGTAAAAATTTCAGGGGTTATTAGGAGCTATAAATGCGTACTAATCATAGTCAAAAGTGCTGCATATAGCTAATAGTAAATTTTTTTTTCTGGACCTTACCTATTCAGTATTGTTCAGGGTTCTGTACAAATTTTTTTGCATTAGACCATAATAATAATTAAAAAGAAAATTTTAAATTTATTAAAAATTTAGATTTTTTCGAAAGTTACTATTATCAATATAATATATAATATGTTATAAAAAAATCAGTACAAATAAATGTACATGCTAAAATGAATATATATATTAATTAATATTTTATTGAATTTAATAAAGGATTATTTTGTAGCTTAAGGTGGCAACATCATTAATTGACAGATTTAAGTACTACGGTAGCGGCAAACTTTAAGTTCTGTAAATATTTTTTGAAAAAATTAGTAATAATTATTTATTTTCAAATTAAATTATATTTATAAAATATTAGTGGATTAGATTTAATTTGAAATACTCAAATATTATTAAAAATAATACCAAAAAATAAATATCAAAAAAATTTGCATTAAAGAATTCAAATTATCACAATTTTGATATATATATAAAATAAAAAATACTAATAATTACAAAAATATGTATAGTTTACTTAAAATAAAAGCAATTTTATCATTTAAAATGCAAAATAAATTTGAATACTGGAATTACATTTTGATATTATTTGGGATTCTAATATTTTTTTACTTTTTGAGAAAATTAACTACAAATGTTAATTTTAAAGTAAAATTTAATATGAAATTTTTAAATTAAAAATAAAAAATATTGAATAAAAAAAAAATTTTAACAACATAAAATATTTTATGCAAAAAAAATATAAAGAATTTTTAAATAAAAAAATATAATTATAAATTTAATTATAGAAAAATTACTAAAATAAATTTTATATTAATTTATTATTGATAAAATTTATGGGTTTCTATAGGATCCCGCTGTATTTCTAATAGAGGTCTCTAAAAAAAATTTAAAATTTACTAGTAATTTTATCAGCGATCCTATTGGTTAATTGATCTAAAAAGGAAAAAATTATAGTAACTTAGTGTAATATTTCTTTTTTTAGCTGTAATTTATCTATATATAATAGAATCTTTAAAAATTCTCAATTATAAATTTTACCTTAAGTTTCTGGTAAAATGTCCTAATCTCCTCATAAGAGTTGCCACATCAGATTATAAGTTATAGAATAAAAGTTAGTAGTACAATAAATCAAATAATGTTAGTAATAACAATATGTAATCAACAAAAATAAAATTCAACTCTAAATCATTTTTCTTTTATTAAATAAATTGATTACAAATAAATTATAACATAAAATATCTTTTTCAAAAACTATGATATAATAATTGACATTATATACCCAGTTTATACTCATATGATAGGAGTAATATCCATCATTTGTGTATAAGTGATATCCTTGTTTTTCTATTATATCCTTATGTATCTTATTTTGGAATTAGTTTATACTTATGGTCTGAAGTAATCTGCATTACTGTCTACTTCCTTAATTCCATCTATCCTTCTATTTTCCTAATTTCTGCACTACCTACAACTTTTGTTTTCATTAATTTATGCTTGGTCTCTACTGATTACACTGGTTAAGTAAGTGAAGTCCTGTTTCCATCTTTTAAATAAGCTATTTTACATATAATTTGGTAAAATCATTATGATTTTATGACCAATTTTTTAATTTTAGTTTTTTAAAAAGTACTTTTTTTTGCAATATTTCAGTCAATATTTATATTAAAAATGCAATTTACTATTATTGGATTCCACTTATTAAAATAAATTTAATGATATAAATTTTATCAAAATCCAATTAGTAGATTACTTAAAATAGAGGTATGTAGGATAAAAAATTATTAAAAATTTCTTTATAATGCAATTTTAGCTAGAATTAATATATAAACTATATAAATTCAAATTTGAGTTAGATTTATAGTATAGTTCAGAATCTTATTTTTTCTACTAAAAAAATTCAAGTTTCTGGAATAAATAATAAAAAGAAAAAAGTTTTACTTTTATAAGTTTATTACAGTCAACTCTCTATAAATGCATCCCCCTTGGGACTGAATAAAAGTGTGCAATTACAAAAGATGTGCATTTATAAAGAGTAAATAATTAGAGGTTATATATACTTGGGATTGAATCAAAGTGTGCATTTAAGAAGGGAATGCACTTATAAGTAGTGCATTTATAGAGAGTTGACTGTAGATATTTATTGCTACTTTAAATGCAAAAATAGAAGGTGTGATATAGGTAACAAATTTCATGGTAGTTATGTGATAAAAATTACATATATAAAAATTATAGTGGTGATGATCACACTGATAAGATTTAGCAATTTCCTAAAAATTTTGGATTTTAAGAAAATGTCAACATTAGCAAATATTAGTGGGCGGAGTTTCATGACATTTTTAATACTACCCTAATTCTGGTGAGGTGACAATCTCCAGCGATGATATCTAGACAATATTCAATTTATTAATCAGTTTAAAAAATTTGACTTTTAAACCAATCAGTCATTTGTCCGGAAAAATCGGATTGCACGTAACCAAAAAATCTGAACGTGGTGTCACGTCAGATCTCTACACGACAACCAATCATATTTATTGTTGATTCTAAATGTCTTATATGATGACCTCATAGATTGAAGTTACTTCACCAGATTTGGTTATTGGTTTTTTCGAGGGAAATTTGCTTTATTTTTTTCCGTAAAACTAGAATTATCTATATTAGTTAACAATTTCAGTTAGTTCGATAACCTTTGATAAATGTCTCAGGTTATGGATACTCCGGGCGAAAAATGTCCGCTCTGTGCTAATAAACAACGTTTGGTTCCACTTTGGTTCCAGGAAAATACTGAGACTTGGATAAAATGCGATATATGCAATGTCTGGTGTCATGCAAGTTGTCTCAAACTTCCTTCCGAGGAATGTGATAGAATTGATGAATATCATTGTCCAAACTGTACACGGACTCATGGTCCTAGTGTCTGTAAGTGAAAATTCGTTGTGAAATGATATATAATCAATTGATATTATAATTCGTTCACGAAATTTATCTCAATTTAATGCTTTGTAATTTTTTTTTTAATTAAAGATAAAGTGGGAATAAGAAAGTCAAAACGCGAACATTCCAAAGTCAATTATGCTGATTTAGAAAATGGTTTAACTGGCAATCCTTATAAATGGAAACGTGTTCTCGATTCAAAAATATTTCAAAAGCACAAATTCCGTAAAATACGTGGTGAACAGTTGACAATAGATTGGGTGCGTTGGTTTGGTCTTGAAGAGCCTATCATTATCGAAAATCCAGATGGCCTTGATATGAAAATGCCTCATAAGGACATCACAGTTAGCGAAATTGCCGAAACTGTTGGTATGTTCATTAGATGATTACCCTAATTTAAGACAAACTAATATAAAATTTATTGTTTGATCAGGTTATGATACTCCTGTTGATGTAATTGGTAATGTAGCTTCTAGTTGTACAACGTCATTTCTGCGGCGCACTTATTAAATATATTTATCTTTCTTAAAGATGTTTCTACCCAACAAGAAATTCCTGATTGGAATATGTATAAATGGGCTACTTATTTCGACGGACCAAAACGGGATCAGGTCTTAAATGTAATAAGCCTGGAAGTAAGCGAAACACCCTTCGGCGATTCGATATTGCGACCACGCATTGTAAGGTATGCTAAAATAATAATAAAATTTTGTTTTCGTAACCAATTTATCGATATTTTTTTAAATTAAATAGAGAGCTCGATTGGGTCGAGAACATGTGGCCAAATAAAAAAATGGTCGAATATCCTAAAGTTCAGCTTTACTGCCTTATGAGTATTAAGGATAGCTTTACCGATTTCCATATTGATTTTGGTGGATCATCTGTTTTCTATCATGTTATAAGGGGATCAAAAGTATTTTATTTTGTTCCGCCAACACCATCTAATTTAAAGAAGTATTCAAGATGGATATCATCACCAGAGCAATCCATGACCTTTTTTGCCGATTTGGTCAAAGATTGTTTTGAAGTGAAATTAGTTGCTGGTAATACTATGTAAGAATTTCTATTTATTTACTAGCAAAGGATTTTCCTTAATGTCTAATAATTTTGACAAATTATTTATTCACGTTAGGATAATTCCTACCGGATGGATTCATGCAGTATATACACCAGATGATTCGATAGTTATTGGAGGCAATTTTTTGCATGGGTTCAATATTGGAATACAATTGGCTATTTATGACATTGAGAAACGTACTAATGTTCCAATAAAATATCGATTTCCATATTTTGAGAAAATGAGTTGGTATGCTGGAAAGCACTATAACAAGATACTTAAAGGTGATAAAAGGATAGTTACAAATTTCGCTTTTAAGGTATTATTACTAATGATAAAAATTTTCTAGAGGATCCATCATCTTTGTCTCAATGGGAGTTGAAAGGCATAGTGGAACTTGCACTGTTTTTACTTGGTTTTACTGGTAAACTCGAATCAAATAGTGAATCAACAATGGAAGAACGGCAATTAATAAAAGACAATATTCCAAATGAGGTATCTGATCCTATAAGATTAACGAAAAGATTAAGTAGACGGATAAATAGGATTATAAACCAAGGCAATATGAATTTCGATGAAGAAGAATCAGAAGACCAAAAGGTTAATATAAAATCGTGTAGAAGGAATCATGATGATAATAGCGGAACATCACGAAAAGATAACTCTGTTTCCACAAAAATCAAGTTAAGGGTTAAAAAACGAGTGTTAGAAGATGATCATGAAAGAAGTGTAAAGTGGGCAAAAACTAGTAGTTCAGTCCCACGACCACCACCATATAATTATAGCATTTATAGTTATGATGAAAATGACCGAGAATCATCAACTTCACCAACACCAGAAGAAATAGCGAAAGTTGAACAAATAATAAAGGAAAAAATTCGAGAGTTCGAGCTAGAAAATAGAAAGAAAAGTTACAAAAGTTAAAGGGAAATAAAATGATCTCATCGAGAATTTACATACTCAAGCATTAATTACAAATTTGATACATCTATTTTATTCAATAAATTGTTTGATAAAATGATATTTGGTTAACGGTGCGACATCTGCGAATTTTACTTCTATCTAAAAATATAATTCCGGGAATTTCTTATTAGGAAATTTAATAATTCCGGCCGGCTCTATGAATTCACGCCCTATAAATGTGCGACATGGGTAACAAATATTTTCTGTTATCACATGATTACAATACACTTCCGCTTTGACGTTCCACACGATTTGGATTTAGTAAGTAGGATCTATTCATTTACACATTATCCATAATTATAGTTTATAGGGTTATTAAATAATAATATAAATGCATTATAATTATAATTTTATACTATGTATGTATGCTAATAATTTACAATTGTAATTTTTCAATTGCGAGAGAGAATTCTTTTATAAAATGATGAGATAGTAAATCAGTAGCAGATGGTCTTTCAACAGGATTTACTTTAAGACAATCTCTCAAGAAATTTTCAAAATCTAAAGAAATATTTAATGGAATTGGAGGAGTTCCTACAGTTCTTATTAACTCTACGACCTTTCTTTGGCCCAAAGGAAACCATGGAGGACGACCATCAATTAATTCTATTGCCATAATACCTAAAGACCATATATCAACTTTACTATTATAAATTTGGTCATGTAATACTTCAGGCGCCATCCAATATAAAGTTCCAAGTTTTAATGAAGCTCTTGAATGTAAAGAAGAAGAACCAAAATCAGCTATCTTAACTATACCGTCGTTTGATAGAAAAATATTCTGAGCTTTAATATCTCTATGTATTATTCCCATTGAATGAATGTATTCTAAACCTTTTAAAACTTCTCTACATACGAATGCAATTTCATGTTCAGTTAATCTTTTTGATTGTCGTTTGTGCCTTATATCCCACAGAGACCCCTGTTCACAATATTCCATTAATAAACATAGTGTATAATTAGGTAATTCTGAATCATAATCGTTTGTTGAAGAGTAATCTTCGTAAATATATTGTTTATAATTTTGAATTATGTTTTGGTGACGTAATAGGCGACAAGCCAAGATTTCGGAATATGTTACGTTAAGAAGTTTTGAGGAGGATAAACTTATTAATTTTATTGCTAAAATTTGTTGTGACTTTCGATGTGTGCACTTATAAACTTTGCCCAATGCTCCTGAATTAATTTGATCCATATTAAATATATCGCGTACGTCTAGCTCTTCAACCGAATTCCTAATTTTTGACAGATAAAGATGTTTATTTTGTGATTCGGCTCTTTCATCAATAACTTCCCAATTATTATTTATTATTTTTGGTTTCATTTCTTCCAAATCACAAGAATAATGTGTTATATCCGTAAGGGTTGTTTCATATGCTGAAGTTGATGCTGAAAAAACGCTTGACGCATGTCTGCTACTTAATGTTCCAGTACTACATTTGTATTTATTACCTTTACGTCTTAAATTACGTACACGCTTACTATCATCTTCGTTATCACTATTACTCATCATTTTTTCATTTTCAAGACCAGCTAACTTTATTAATAATTGTCGATTTTCTTCTTGCATCCTGGCAATTAAAGTAGGTGGTTGTGGTGAAATTTGTGGTGGTTGTGGTTGTTCTTCTTCTTCAATGATGGATGATGTTATATAAGTGGTATATGTCTAACATTCAAAAAAAATTTTAATAAAATACCCAGTATGTCCAATATATATAATATATATAGTTTTTTTTACTTACTGAAGTTAATAAAGAAAATTTTTTGTGTGTAAAAGGATTCTTTATTATTATTACATAGTGTTTTGAAAAATGAACCTTAAGTTTATAGACCAGTCCATAAACCAAAGCAATCAACACGTTAATCAAAATTAGATTACCAAGTTCCGGTATAACCAGATTCACACTTATCGAATATACTATTATCAAAACAAGAAAAAGTAGCATGTTTCTTTTTGTATCCATTTTATTTATTTATTGAAGAAAAAAAGACATCTAGTCTAGAAATATTACTTGAAAATTTAAGAGGCATAATATAAACTATTTAACCCAAATGTCAGGCAAAAAGAAAAATTTATCGAATACCTGTAATACTTAACTTTTATTAATAGTTTATCAGGGCATTTAAATAATGATGTCACAAATTTTTATTAATTACCTAATCACATGATAATCTTCACCTTTAGTACCATGTACTCTAAAATTTTTTCTGAATTTAAAAAAACTACACGGAAATTTTCGATTTTAAATTTTAGTATTTGTAAATCAAACCCTCCGAAATTTGCAAGATGTTCAGAATGTGTCAAATTATTATTAAAGTTATTTATTTTTATTTCCAAAATGTGGATATAATTAAATAAATAGATAATATCAAACCAAAATCTTCGTACAAAAATAAAATAAATTATTGTAAAATAAATAAAATAATAGCATTATATGAACTAAACTAATACACCGTCTTCGCTTTCAACAGATACTACTGAAGTACTAGATGGTAACCCATCTTTGATCATAAATATCTTTTGAGAATCATCTTCTACATGTTCTTTACCATTCGATAATGGCGGGGATGAAGGTCTAAAATCTTCATCACTCACGAGTTCTAAAGTCCGCATTGCAGACTCCATTGTTCGCATTGATATATTGCTGAAAGGAGTTGTGGGAGTACTACTAGTGTTAGGTGTTGTATTAGTTGCGGAGTTTGAGCTTGTACTCAACATACTACCATTATGAGTCCACTCGCTTGAATCCATATTCGCAGAAACTCCTTTAACTGCATCTTCGATCCATGGATGCTTCAGTAATTCTTTAGCGGAAGGACGTTGTTGTGCTGATCTAATAAAACACATTTTTAAGAAATCCATTCCTAATTCCGATAACTGTGAGGGATCCGGTAAAGGTGGATGACCTGTAACTACATGATACATAACAGCCCATTCGTTATCTAAATTTGACCAAGGACGTCTACCAGTGGCCATTTCCAATACACAACATCCCAATGACCATATATCCATTGATCCTTTACGACCCTTCTCCCCTCCGGTTATTATTTCCGGTGCCTAAATTTTAGACAAATTTGTTAGTATTATTTAATATAAAATTTATTTTAGAAGTATATTTATTTCAACCAACCATATACATTGGAGTACCAGTTAGACTATGAACATTGGTTTTAGATTTTTGTGCCATTGTAGTTCGGCCCATTGTCTTCTGATTTTTTGCAAGAATTTTTGCTGCTCCAAAGTCCACAAATTTTATCACTCCATTATGATCTAAAAGTATATCTTTATATAATATGTGATGTTAGGGGTAAGAATAAAAAAGTTTAATTGTTAAAATAACTACTTACTATCAGGTTTTATATCTCTATGAACTATATCGTTTTCATGTAAGTAACCTAACCCATGCAACATCTGATAAACATAATATTGAATTACTCCTTCATCTTCGATACGTCCATGTTCTAACTGAGAAGCAAGACTACCACCCTGACAATATTCCATGAAAATATATACTTTGTCCCGATGTACCTCAATACCGTAATATGAAACAATATTTGGATGATCAAGCATTTCCATAACTGACATTTCTTCCTTGACAGACCTATAAAGCGTTGTAAGTGAAGATGGATCCTGAAATCGTATTTCCTTGACAGCCATAAGATCTCCAGTATCTAAATTGACAGCCAAATAAACTGATCCAAAAGCACCACCTCCTATAAATTTGCCTTGTTGCCATCGTAAAGAAATATTTGAACTTGATGATGCTAAAAAGACTAAAGGTCGATTTTCAGGTTGATTATCGTCAAGAACTTTACCAACAAGACGTTGATCTTGTTCCTTTTCGTAGCGTCTAGCTTCTAATTCATTTAACTTAGCCATCCATTCATCTCGCATAACTAAAGAATCCTTGCCGCTATAAGCATTACCATAATTATTTTGGAGTTGAAGAAGAGACTGTAATACAAGATCACTCTGATGACCAGTTGTCTCTTGCCGTTGTTGCTCTTCATGAGATGATCGCGCACCCATAATATCTACATGAGATATAAGTAACCTCATACACATCCCTACTTTGCTACGCAACATGGCAAATTCATTTTCTGTTAAACCTAGAATATTGTTACCACGATTTGTCGCCATAGCAAATTCTAAAGCAATTACCGCCCATCTAAACGTTTTGCGATCTGTGGGAACACAATCATCACATATAAAACTAACCCAATCTATCGCCATTCGGGTTAATTTAACATTTAATTGCGCACGCACAGCATCTCGATGCATATAACGCAAACAACGTTGACCTATTTCAGTTGCAAAACTAAAACAGTTTTCAATCAAATCTTGACATTCTTCATTCTTTGTTTTTTCTTTAATTAATGCAACACTATCAATTATTTTATTAGCAAGCTTGAAAACAGTTTTTTTAATTTTAGTCATTTCGCGATTAACGCAAGGTACGTTTGCTCGCGTTTCTAACAAAACTTCAATACCACAACCATCGACTGCTTCGCGAAAACGTTGTTTGCATGCTTGTAGTCTTGGATATGCACCAGAAACTAGCCTGATACGGTGAGTTTTGAGTTCAATATTAAGTTGTTCCATCGACTCAACCATATTAAGACCATTCCATTCAAATTGTACCCTGGGTGATAGAATAAGGACATATTCCGTTCCTATTAATTCTTCATCATAATTATCTTGTCTTTTTTCGGACGTAAGAACAGAAGTAAGTAGTTTTTGTATTTGTTGAGGTCGGTTATGAAGCGTTCGTTCAACAATGAAGCACACACCATCAGACTCATAAGTATCAGGGTACACAAGAACATGTGAGGTATGCTCTAATCCTTTGATAAAAGCTTGATAATTATTATCATCAATAAAATATTCTGCAGCATTTTCGAGTTCACCGAAAAGAAATCTACATAAAAGCGATGAAGTTAATAAAGAGTATATTTAAATAAATTAAATAATGTACCTACTTCGTAAACCGAATCAATCTTCTCAATCTTAAACGTACACTTTCCAAGAGTTTATTATAAAATTTTAAAGGATCAGACTTCGTAGGTCCTAGTCCAAGCTCCTTATCATAATAAGTCATGACATTCTGAAGTAACTTATTCGTTAGAGAACTATAAAATTGTTAAAATCGTGTGAAAATTGTGTATTAACTAATAAACCGATTCGTTTTTATTAAATTAAATTTTTCCCATGTATATATGTATAAAAAAGTTCCTAACATTAAGCAAATTTTATACATTATATTCCAAAAAAATAAATATGTAAATGTGTAATAAAAAAATTTCAAATACAAAAAGTTACATACTCACCAAAATTGTACTGCAGTTTCAGAATCACCTCCCACTATATGACGACATATGCCACTTAAAAAAGACCATTCATTTTCTAAAATTTCTGCTTCCTTAAATGATACAGTCTTGTATCCAATTTTGAGCTTCCACTGTAGTAACTTAAAGTAGAATTTCAACGAGTCTAGTAAAACTGTATTATAATTTTCATCGATGCATGGAGGAATATCCCAACCATCTGCAGGTTTGATAAGCTCGAGATATTGATGTTTGATTTGACATGCTAATGAAAGAGAAATTCGAAAATTCTCCATCATCTGCTGAACCATCAACATAGTAGGATCGGACAGACGATTAGAATACGTAAGTAACAATTTCATACATTCTTCCATAAGTTTTGTTGGAAAATTAAGAAGTTGCTGTAATTCGTTGATATAAGGAGGTAATTTCATTTTAGCAAAAGCAGCAGCATTATCAATCATTACACGTTTCGCTTTTAGCAAAAGCGAATCTAAAGTCGATAGAGTTCGGTTTTCAAAAGTTTGTTTCAAACTATTCTCTTTCAATATTCGTTCAAGAAAAGAAGGATTTTCTGCATCGGTTGGGGCATCCTTCGGTCGAGTAATTTCCAAAATTCCACTTCCTGTCCAATTTTGTAAAATTTTTAATTGTGTTTGCAAACTACGTGTTATCGTTAACCATGAATTAAGAGCATCCAAACTATATTGAAATTCTTCTGATTTATATAAAGGTTTATCAAGCATCATTGCTTTGCGTGAATGATAAAGATTCTCACATGTATCAACTCTCTGAAGTATCTCGGCTACCTGATCAATTGCAGGCACATCACCTGGTTTTACCTCAAATTCTATAACTTCTTTGAGTAAAACATCGATTATCTGTCGACTCTCCTCAACAATCAACTTCTCTTCCGCGAGTGTACGTCCACGCGTTATAGCACGGATTCCCAACCAAATTTGATAACTTATACTAGCCGCTTGCCTTGGATTTGAACCTGACATACGCCGTTTCTCCGATTTAATAACGTCGCCATTAAGTACGGATGCCAAAAAACTTTGCCATTCCATTCTTTCCTTTTGCATTTCATGAGTCAATCCAGGTTTTGTGGTAGAAGTATCGGCATCTTCAGAATTTGGAAAATCGTTAACTACACCATCAGATTCATCTGAATCGTTAGATGCTCGATCCCAATCAAAAACATCATTACTCCTCCGACTACTTGCAAATCCATCTCTAGAGTGGCGTTTCCTATTACCATATTCATTTGGAAAATATGAATAATGATCCCAGTCATGTTTTTGGTTTAGGCCCTTTTCATCTTTAGTTCTATCACTATAAGATTTTGATTTTCGATTTATAGGATTTATAGGTCTCTCATGGCCATGTTCGTTATCATCATCATCATCATAGTCGTTATCATCATCTCTGTCACGGCGATTATAACGGTGATTATTTGGATTACTATTGAAAATATAATTCTTACAATTTTTAATTATTACTTAAAGCGACGATATAAAAGGGTTATTAAACATTTTATTTACCCGATGTCCTCATGCATATTATTTGCCGCATTTGCCGCTTCATAAATCCAATTATCGAACATGATTTGTACATTGTTAGATTTCACCAATTCGTTAATTTCTTCAGTATTTCTATCATGGTACTCTTGCGTTGTTACAAGATAAGTCGTCTAAATTTAAAAAATTTAATATAAATATTTCCTTTATATTAACACACAAAGTGAAATTTTCAGTAAATCAACAAAAATGTTTGGACGAATACGAAAAAAGAATTCGAAAATAAAATTTTACCCGTTCACTGATCATTGACGAGACACTACCGCCCTGTTGAAATATTTTGCTTTCCAGTCTTTGCTTTTGATACTCATCGAGCCCATGTAAAACAAAGATTAGATTTTGAAAAGGTCGTTGTGAACTGCCATATCCAACACCGTTCCTATGATTAACGATTGAATCTCCCGAGATCGCATATCCATTAAAGCTCTCGCGTCCTTCATCCCTTCTTGGCTCTTCGTCTTCGTAAGGAGTGTTAAAACGTACTGTATTTTTCATTGGAGTCGCAACAAATAATAAGCAAACAAAAATTCTATGAAATTACCAATAGGAAAACTAACTAGTCGGTACTGATAATGATATTCAATTTATCACATGATTTTCTGCGTGATAACTATAAACTCGTTATTTTTGTTTTCCGGCAATATTTTTTGGACATTGTGATGTCAGACGAGTACGAAAGCGTACTGTTAGTAATTCGTGAATGTTATGGTATGTTTTATATTAGTTTTTTTTTCTAATAAAGACAAGATTTTTAACAAGAAATATTGTGATCTTAGTATATAAAATTCCGCCGAGAACATCTAGTCGAGAATACAAGTAATTGCTTATGTTATATAATAATTTTTTAAAAAAACCACATTTAATAAAAATTTGTAATTCAGAGCATCAGAATGGGGTGATATGGAGGCTTTTTTATGGAAAGGACGTTTAAGAGTTATTTCCGTAGGAGAAAAGTGTTTTATAAAGTTAGAAGATGGGACAACTGGTAAAATAAGTTTATTTTTTGAGTCTTCTTTTAACTTATATTTAACACATTTTAACAACTACATCAGGAGAACTATTCGCACAGTGTTTATATGATCCTGATACTAATACAGTTGAACCTGTACGTGATTCAAGCAGATATTTTGTATTGCGTATTGAAGATGATGGTCGACATGCATTTATAGGCATGGGATTTCAAGAACGTTCGGAAGCTTTTGATTTTCAAGTAGCTTTACAAGATCATGTCAAGTAATCATCTTCTTAAATTTACTAATAATTCTATACCTCTACTATTAGATAATTGACACTTTTTTGTGTATAATAGACATCTCAAAATAGAAAAGGAGTCAGCTGAATATTCTAAAAAAGCCTTAGAGCAACCAAAAAGAGACTATAGTTTGAAAGAAGGTCAAACAATTAGATTAAAGATTGGCAATGTAAGAACATAATTACATGACATATATGATTTGCAAAATCTTTAAAAATTTCATTCTAAAATTCATTATTTTCATAATAGCATAATACGCGGCATATAGATAGTATTTCAAGTATTAATACTGATGAAAGTACAAAAACTGTTCCTCTTTTACCGCCTCCACCTTCTGCTGCTTCTGTTAGAAAAAAACAAAGTATTTCTCCCGCTGCACAAAATATTCAAAGATCTCCTTCGCCTAATGATTTTAGTGATTTCAATGATTTCACTAGTTATACTGATTCATCTAATCCTGATATATTTCATTAAATATCTTACTGTTCTATAGATGCTTTAATAAAATTTGAACTTTTTATAAATTGTATAATTTAATTTTGGAAGTGTTTATTATGACTTTTATGACATAGCAATCACATGATGATACTGATACTAAAATTGGGTAATAAATATAAAGATGAGATGTTGTAATACGCTGGTATAACGCGGAAATTACTGGGATAACGCGGAAAAAATTGAGAGTTATTTCAAACCAGTTTCTCACTGTTATTTACTTCTCAAACCGTTTACGATAGTTTAACTGATAACTCACTGAATCATGGCTAATTGTGATTTTCTTGCTGTAAATAAAGAATTTGTTTATATTTTGTTTCTCGAAACTTTATTATTCAATTAACTGTTTTCTTCTTCACAGAAAGCAATCGAAATAGTAAAAAAAGCTACAGATGAAGATAACAAAGGAAACTACGAACAAGCATACAAATATTATAATAATGCTTTAGACTATTTCATGCATGCAATGAAATGTATGTACTCAAGTTATCTTTTCACATTGTTCGATAGTTTTTTTTATCTTTCATATAACAATATAAGCTTTACTTATGGCTTCAACCTTGCGAGTTAAACATATTTGTTCCGAATTTAAAATGAAGAATTGATCGATAAAACGTTAGCTTTATATAAGTCGTGAGTGATAAATATATAAACCAATATCAACTTTCCTCGCTCATATATCAATAGATGAGAAAAATGAACGAACGAAAGAATCCATACGTAAAAAGTTCACCGAATACCTCAATCGGGCTGAAAAACTAAAGGAATTTTTAGCAAATCAAGATGACAGCCGCCAGAAGAAGGCTATTGGAGCAAATGGTTCCGAAAAGGGAGGCGGAGGTGGAAAAGGAAGGTCTGTATGATGTAATTAAATGATAAAGAGACATCTTTAACACAGTATTAATTATCAAATTTTTCGTATAGCGTGACTTATTGATTATCTATCGTTGTAATACATTTATTTGTTTATTATTTAACAGAAAGAAAAATGGCAGCGAAGATGATGACAATGAAGATGCAGAAACTAAAAAATTACAGAGCGCATTAACAAGTAATTATATTATATGACTTTAAACGCTTTATTCGAAAGGTTTTCGATTTATTTAATTAACTATTATTCATAGGTGCCATCTTGAGCCAAAAGCCCAATGTACATTGGGATGACGTTGCTGGACTAGAGACGGCTAAAGAAGCATTAAAAGAGGCTGTGATTTTACCTATCAAGTTTCCTCAATTGTTCACTGGTAGATATTATAGAAATATATAATTGATTTCTTTTCATTATATTGTTTACCAAAAGATTATTTGTGTAAGGCAAGCGGAAACCATGGTCGGGTATATTACTATATGGCCCTCCTGGCACTGGGAAATCTTATCTTGCAAAAGCGGTTGCAACTGAAGCCAATTCTACTTTTTTTTCAGTTTCCTCATCTGATTTGGTGAGCAAATGGATGGGTGAAAGTGAACGGTAATTATTAATATAACAAATTATATTTATTTATTTTATTTATTTTTCTTTTTCAAAAAAGGTATTTCCCTAAAATAAGATTTTACATTAATTAAATCTTTATTTTCTAGTCTTGTCAAAAATCTTTTTACAATGGCTCGTGAAAATAAACCTGCAATCATTTTTATTGATGAAGTTGATTCACTTTGTGGACAACGTGGTGAAGGTGAAAGTGAAGCAAGTCGAAGAATTAAAACAGAGTTTCTCGTTCAAATGAATGGCGTGGGAAATGATCCAAGTGGAGTTCTTGTGTTAGGTGCAACGAACATCCCATGGCAATTAGATAGTGCCATTAGACGAAGATTTGAAAAAAGAATTTACATACCACTTCCAGACTTTATTGCAAGAGTTGAATTGTTTAAATTAAATGTAGGCAATACACCTTGCACTTTGACTGATAATGAATTTGTACGCTTGGCTGAAACGACAGAAGGGTAAGGATATCTTATGCCGATATATCAAGTGTGCTTCACATTTTGTGTTAACATTTTGTTATTTTAGATATTCTGGTTCTGATATTGCTGTTGTTGTACGCGACGCTTTAATGCAACCTATTCGTAAAGTTCAAACCGCAACACATTTCAAACGGGTATGTTATTCCTCATCATTTATGAATTTTTGGTAAATGAATTCAATGTTAAATGTTGGACAACCTTTTCAAGGTCGACGCAAATACTAAACTAACTCCTTGTTCACCTGGCGACGACGGTGCCATGGAAATGAGTTGGATGAAAGTTGAATCTGATCAATTAAAGGAACCTGAATTAACTATTAAAGATTTTGAAAGAGCCATACAAGTTTCTAGACCTACCGTTAACGCAAAAGACATTGAAGAACATACGAAATTTACAGAAGATTTTGGACAAGAAGGATAAGTAATTTTATAACCGTACTTAATTTTATAGATGTACTAAACAAACATATAGTATCTTATAAAAACGTTTTGTTAGAAGGAAGGTATTATACAATTGCTCAATTATTGTTATTAGTTATTATATTGATTTGTTTTATATTTAAATTTATTGAGCTTCTGTATATTAGAAATAAATAATAGTGATATTATTTTTTAAATTTATAAAATCCCTATAAAATTTGACAATAATAACAATGTCGTAAATATAATGTTTTGTCGATACACCGGCTTAAATCATCTGGCAGCGGCTAACGCACGTCGTCCCAGGTTTTGGCCAAAACTATCAAATAATAGAATTTATTATAATTACATAGTATATAATACCAGGTCTAAAAATAGCTAAGAAAATAAAACTAAGAAATTTTTCCTTTAATATTAATATATTTTTACCATTTTTTTCTTCTCGTCCGTTTTTTGACTGTTATTAGACAGAAATTTTGAATAAATGTAGTAAATAAATAAATTTTTATAAAATTAATAACGCATATTTAGTATTGGTTGTATTCCTATATAACAAATAGAACAATCCTTAGGTTAAAAGGCAGTTACTATTCGGATAGTTTTGAAAAAACTATGAAAAAGTTGAATTTTATTTGTTTTAAAAGAATCCTTCGTTAAAAGTATTAATTAAACTGCGGTAAAAACCATCCAAGTTGAAGTATGCTATTTATAGAAAATATTATTTATTAATTAAACAACCATGACTTAACAAAAAATAATTGACTAGTAACGTAATAAAAGTTTTTACCTGTCTCTTATACACATCTAGATGTGTATAAGAGACAGATCATATGGTTATCATATGACATTACCTAGTATACATGGATGATGCTAAAATCTTCCAATAATAATTACGATTTTTTTTTTTCGCTACTAATTTTCTAAACGCTTGGTTTAATTACAATACTTGATTTTCAAAAAGTAAATCGGAACAAGAAATAGCACAAATAAACTCGTTCAAATTTCGTACAAATTAATATGGCTACAAGCAACACCATGAACTTCGGACCAGAATGGTAATTACTCATAACCATTTGGCTTTTCGGTGAACTCCAAGTTTGAAGCTAGTTCAGTATTTCTGATTTTTAACTCAATTTTTAATAAATTTAATTTTAAAGGATGAGACGGTTTCCTAAAACTCCAACGAGCGATAGTAATCGTTCCACTTCTCCTACTTTGACTTCATCTAATGCAACGACTAATTCGTCTACCATTTCTGCAAGTGCAAATAGCAATATAAATCCTACAAATAATACTAATAGCAACGGAACTACATTTTCTTGGTCTTCAGTGGCTGCTGCTAATAATAATAATACTACGTCAAATCGTTCACTTCATAGTGAAGCGTCTGAGAAATCTGACGTACCTGGTGCAGGTGATTCTGCACTAAATCCTTTTAAATACTCAAAAGAATTTATGCTTAAATTATATAAGCCAGTAGGATTACCTTTGGAATTCGAAAGACATGAATATGTTACAAGTGAGGAGCCACTACAACCAATGGCCATGATAATTTATACAGAACAGGAACAAAAGGTAACACCTTGAATCTATTTTTTATAATAAGAAAATTGTTTAGAAAGTTCATAATCAAAATTTTGGGTGTAGTTAGCATAATATTGAATTAAGCAGAATATTTATTGATCAACCAAAAATAAATTACTATAATCAATAATCGATGAATTTTTAGCATTGGAATTTCTTTTATTCATTACATATTAAAACAATATTTATTCCATTATTATTAAATATAAAAATTTCACCTCGATTAATAGCTTTTGTCAGGCACGTCTGTTAATAGTGAACTTACTCGGCGCATCGTTTCCAATGCATCGAGTGGAACTGTTACTGGAAGTGAACGTGTTGAAAGAGATAGAGTACCATTTCCTCCTCGTGGTGAAAAACATATTAATACTGGTCTAACTTCACCGAGAAGCGAACGTTTTGGTGGCATTATTGGTGGAGTACTTAGCGGGCGAACAAGTCCTCGTAGCAGTCGTCCACCTAGAACATCAGGATCTCTCAACTTATCATCTGCAGATGATCCAGTGTGGAATGGTGTTACACGGCATGCAGTGGGGACTTTTGATAGTAATGGGGTTTTCAGAATTCCCGGGAACAATGTAGAGGATGAAACTTTAGATAAAGTTAAGAAAGAGGATACCGAACGTGGCAAGAAATTTGAGCAAGAGGTTAGTGAGCGACTAATTGAAAATCTAATTTTGAGAAATCGAGTTGGTATGACATTATATATTCCCAATGCAGCTTGAAAGGAAAAATCCGACCGACCGATCGGATGCAAATACCTATAGTAAGTCTTCCCAGAGTGAAATTGTGACGACCAAATCAGAAAGAGAAATGAACAATGAATCTATGAATGGTATTGAAGATTCCACAAGGAATGAATTTATGGAGGACTTGCAGGAAAATACTTCGGTGCAACTTGGTCTTCAACAGGAAACACGGCATGAACGTCAAATAAAAAAAAATAAAGTGTTACAGGATTGGCAAGAATCACAAAGTCAGTCAAATCAAGAAATTGAAGAATCATCTTTACAACGAGATCAAACAGACTTTCATCAAGAAAAACAGCGAGAACAAACATCGTTTCAACATTCACAAAGAAGTGAAGGAGAACATCAGTTATTACAACAACCACAAAATAATCGTAAAGATGACGAAAAAGACCTTGAACGTGAAATAGATGATGATCGCAGCTTTGAACTAGACAGAGAAAAAGATCAATTGATTTTAGAACAACAGAGACAGTTGCAGCTACAGCAAAAACAAGAACAAGAACAACAATTACAAATACAAATACAGCAAAGACAAGAAAATGAACAGAAACAATTACAATTGCAGTTACAATTACAGCAACATCAACAAATTCAACAACAGCAACAACAGTTGTTACTACAACAACAACAGCAGCAAATATTACAAGATCAACAAGATTTACTGCAACACCAACATCAATATCGTCAACAACAATTGTTACAACAACATCAGCAATTATTATTACCTCATCATTTTGATCCAGATCAAGATGACGATGTGTTAAAAGAAGCATTTGCTTATTCAAATGTAGGAAGTAATACACCACCATTATCCCCAACGGGCAAGACTAATAAGTATACTTCTGCACATTCAATTATTGGCACTAGCAATGCATTTGTAGATAGTAATTCTGGGACGGCTAGTCTCTTTTCTGGTGCGGGAATAAATGTTGAATCAAGAAAAGTAACGTCTGAACAATATAAATGGATGTACCGTGATCCAAGTGGTAACATTCAAGGTACACTAATATTTTTTTTTAACTGTGTTATACTAATAATATGTCATTTAACAATTACTTAATTAAATTATTTAGGACCCTTTAGTAGTCAAGAAATGAATGAATGGTACAAAGGCGGATTTTTTGTTCATAGTCTTTTAGTTAAAAGAGTTGAGGATACTACGTTTGAACCTTTAGGTGTCTTAATACGAAAGACAGGTGATGATGAAAGGCCTTTTTCAGCACAGATACCTGGTTCAAGACCTTCTTTAACTATCTCTATGCCTAATAATTCATCACGCCTGGTTAATGATCCATTCCAAAGGTCTTGGGTCGGTCCTAATTCTCCTAGTACAGCACAGTTGTTTTTGGATCAACAAAGATTTAATCCTTTTGGCGGAACTGCTTCTGTACCAAACACTCCATTTGATCGATACCAATTCGGCAGTGTTTTTGGGCGAAATGATGGGGGATGGGGAGATCTAAATTCTACAAATAATACATGGGGACAAACTGATAGTTTTACATCTAATAATGAAAGTCTGTCTCCTCGTATACAAGCCCCTAATTCTCCACCTTTATTTAATAATAATTCCGCTACCTTTAATGTTTCACCGCCTCAAACCTATTTGGATCATCAACGAGTGTTATCTTCACAGATCGATCGTCAACAACAATATTTGGTGCTGCAACAAAGACAATTACAACAAAATCAACAGAATCAAAATTCTTACCCAGACGCCTTCATTAGGCAACAACACCAAAGTTATGTAGGAATGTCTGGACCGGTATCAGCCCCTATATCAAATGCGCCAACTTCTCCGTTCACGAGAGCCACAGGTTGGCCTGCCACAACTACTACTGAACCAACTCCATCATCGCCATGGGGACCCGGTATTGGAGTTACTCCTTCACGTGCTACTCAGTCAGATGAAATTGGATATTTTGGTTTGAGGAAAGAAGGATTACAGCAATCATCACGTCGTAATGAAAGACAATATGAAATGATGAGTGGAAATATTCAAGATTCGTCACTTGATAGTAAAGTTAATGAGATGGTTAAGTCTATGGCAATAGCAGATGATGAAACACATTCAAAAAAAATTGATGAAAAAGTAATTAATGAAGGAAAAGATGAATCATCTGCATCAAAGAATATTGTCGATGAAACATCTCGTTTTGTTCAGAAAGAAGAATTGTATCGTACAAAACCTTCGTTACGCGAAATTCAGGCCGAAGAAGAACGACGCAAAAAACAGCAACAAGAAAAAGAAAAATTCGCTACCTCTGTTCAACAAACTTCCAATCAACCAATTGCCAAAGCACCCCAGCCACAGAAAATTAACAGCGCAGCATGGGGAAATAATAATTCTATCACTCCTTCTTCACCTGCACCATGGGCAAAAGATGAAGACCACACTGCTCACAAAACTCCTTCACTGCGAGAAATTCAAGAGATGGAAGCTCGAAAAGCTGCTGAACGTAAAGCGGTGTCTACGGTCACTGCTCAGGCTACTGTTATGGTTACTAAAGAAGAATCAACACCCTCAAATTCTTCTTGGGGTATCATTGGTCAAAATTCGTCTAGTACATCAAATTCGTCTTCACTTTCTACTTCTCCTGTTGTAACTACACCAGCGTGGCAATCAAACAATTCTGCCCCCAAAAAAACACTTAGGGAAATTCAAAAAGAAGAAGAAGAAGCAATGAAAAGACGTAATAAAATTCGTGAAATGCAACAACAAGTTTTGCTTGGTGCTAATTCTGGAACTAGCACTTCTGTTACAAATAGTATGGGTAAACGTTATGCGGATACCGTAGCCACGGGAAGCGGTGGCCCTGGAACAAAGGTACATGTAAAATAGTGTTAATCTAGTGTTCTTTGTATAATATATACATTTGTAACAAATTTTTTTTGTTTAGCAATAAAGCTTAGCAATAAAGCTACATTCATTCATTATTATTGTTATTATAGAAAATAGGATCTACATCTATGAACGCCGCTTGGACAACTGTTGCTAGCAAATCAAATAATCGTTCGACTACTGCAATATCTCCTCAAAGTAACATTGGTACTACTGTAAATGTATTATCAACAAAGCCTACCGGAAAAGATTCTACTGTGGTTTGGGATATGGATTCGCACAAGGGTATAAATGGCTTAAGGTATATATATATTTTTCTTTATTTAATTTTATTAAATTTTATTTATTTATTTATTTATGTATGTATTTATTTAATTTTACTTTATAATTTAGATCACAAACTCAATCAAATAAACCATCAGAACATTTAAAAAATACTAATAGATCAACTCCCGTCAGCTTAAGTTTATCAAAGACTTCTGCAAACAGCGGCGCAATTAATGCTAACAGTTCTAATGAGCATTCTACACCCCGACCCCCTTCTGAAGAATTTTTAAAATGGTGTCGTCAGGCTTTACGTGGGTTAAATGATGTGAATGGTAAATTTATTTTATTTTATTTTTATCCCTTATTATTTTTTGATTTATTTTAATTTCTTACCAAATTCTTTATAGTTGAGGATTTTATTCAAATGTTGCTCACATTTCCGCTTGATCCTCCTCCTGCAACTATTGAAATTATACAAGAATCGGTTTATGCTAATTCTCCCACTTTAGATGGTCGAAGATTTGCAGATGAATTTATTAAGAGGCGTAAGGCAGATGCTAGCGGTTTACCATTAAATAGTTTTTTGAATACTAATACGGAAGGGAAGTCAGGTAAAGATACGGGAACGGGTAACAGTAACACAAAGGATGATCATTCTATAAATAGTGCAGGCGCTTTCAAAGTTGTAACTACAAAAAAAGGTAAAAAAAAGCATTAATGAAGATTAGAACATGGAATGACTTTTCTAACAAATCGAAGATTTTTAGTAGTGCAAATCTTTTTTATTATTGATACATATGTGTTGCCTTTTATTGTAAATATATGTAATATTATGTGATGTATTAAATACATAGAGTTTACAATATTATTGTTATTTATTACACAATTAAAAAGCAATAACTTTATTAGCGTACATGCCCTTGCAAAATAAAAAAATAAAAAAATAAGCAATGTTAAAAGTCCTTAGCCGATTCCATGAGCAGAAAATCAGTCAATATCGATATTACTTGTTATATTATCCAAAAGAGTGACAATTTCATCAAAAATATTCAAAAATTGCTGAAATTTTTCTAAGTCTTCTTCATTGCGATGCACAGATACCATACTCAAAAGGATAACAGCCAGAATTGACCTAATATTAAAAAAAAACAAAAAATAAATTTAATAAAAAAAATAATTATATTGAAAATAATAATAATTTAAAGAATAAAATAACAAACCAATAAATTGATTGGCCAACAAAGGATGGTCCGAGCAAAATTGCAAGATTAACAAGAGGATAAACGTTTAGCCCAAATCGACCATTGGAAATCTTGGATAAAATTGGATGTTTCGATAAATTTATAACCTGAGATTGGATATTCTGGGTACTCATCTGGATTTTGGTAAGATAAAATAAATAAATAATAAATAAAATAGATTTCTATAATAAAAATCACAAAACCTTTTCAACAATGGATTCAAATCCTTCATCTGTTGTTTTTTTTTGAATAAATTCAAGATATTGTATATAACGTGTCATTATTGACGTAAATCTTTGTAATAAGTTAATTCTTTGTTCACCCCAGGTCCCATAAGTACAAGCCATCATCAATGGAGAAATAATAATTTTAACCGATTTTATCAACAACATGTGAAATTCAGCAAATTCCGATAATTGATGATGATGAATTAATGGTTCTTTTTCAATCATAATCCATTGAGGATTTTCAACAACTAATACAACATCATCATCGGAAAGATAATGTGTTAAAAGCTCAGAATAGGAAAGGCTTATATCCGATGAAGCTTGTTCGCCAATATCCGCGTCTTCAAGAATATTGGATTCAATTAATGATATTGCTTTTTCAAATGCATTAAACAGCTTATCTTCATTTTTATGAGTTTGTATTATCCAGCCCATTGATATAGCAAGGCTTTCAAATGATTCAGAGAGTTCACTTATCTGTTCTCTCTTAGTCATTATTTCGCGGAATAGTTTGTGCATTAATTGAATTTCACCGCAATCGCCAGATAATTCTTGATCTGAAGCTTTTCCTGTAGAACACAGAGAATCGTACCGAGCCCTAGATTCTTCATGTGCAAGAACTGAATAAGCTTCATTTATCAAAATAAATTGATTATTAATAGAAGCTATGTTTGTATCATCATCAAGACGTTGTTTATGTTTGTCGGGGTGATATTTTAAAGCTAATTTCTTATAAGCTTTTTTTATCTCTTGTGGTGAGGCAGTAGGAGTGATTCCCAGGGCCTTATAATATTCATACTGTGGATTAAGTGTCATTTTGAGTTGTGAGACAGGTGGGACAATGTAGCTCTATAAATATGCTAATGATGATGATGATGACATAAAAGTCAATTATCCACGTGCAATTATAATCCATTTTGAATTTCGCGTTTCGAAATTTGGATAACTTCTAATTCTTTGAATCCTGAATTCGCTATAAAAATGGCCTCGAATACTGAATTACAAAAACTACAAGATGAAGCTTTTTTAGATCGTGTTCGTTTTTTTGAAGAATTTTTAGAAGCTGATAAGGTATAAGAGTTTATCTAATAGGCAAAAGACACAATTCTAAACGCGTCAAAATATTCGCAACGCGTATTATAAAAGCGATAAAGCATTCAAAATAAGTTTTAACTTATGAAGTTTGTTCTGAATTCATATTATGGTATTGCATGGATTATATTAACATTATAGGAAAAACTTGGCAGCGAAAAATTCTATAAGGTTGAAATCGTACAAATGTTACGAAATGGTGAAAGACGTTTTATTGTTAATCTTAATGAATTACGTTATTATCACGCAGAGAATGCTAAAAAGTATTGTTATGTTTATAATTTCTTACATATATACAATTGGCTCGTTTAGTTAGTTTAATTAAAAAAAATTTATATTAATGCGAGCCGATTGCATATGCATGCTTTCTAATTAGCTTACTTATATTATGTTAGGTTAGAAGAATCCCCCAATGAATGGATACCAGCATTCGAAAAAGCTCTGAAAAATATCATAAAAAATATTTCATCAGGTATTGATGATACTGAGAAGAGTACTAACATTGATGAGCAAAATTTCTATATCGGATTCAATGGAACTTTTCATCATCATGTTAATCCACGAACATTGAAATCAATTCATCTTGGAAAGTTAATTTGTATTGAAGGAATTGTTTCACGATGTAAATGAATTATTATTTTGATATTATCCTATAAATAATTGGTACTCCGGATTTTAACAATAAATTTTATTTGCGGTAGGTTCTCTTGTACGCTTGAAACTTGCTAAAAGCGTTCACTATTGTGAAAAGACCGGCAATTTTAGTAGCAAAGAATATCATGATTCTACCTCAATTGGAAATCAAATTCCATCATCATCTGCATATCCAACAGAAGATGAAAATGGTAATCCATTAACAACAGAATTTGGATATTCGGTGTACCGTGATCATCAGACTATTTGTCTTCAAGAAATGCCAGAAAAAATGCCTCCCGGATTATTGACTAGATCGATTGATATTATTTTGGACGATGATCTAGTAGATAAAGTGAAGCCTGGTGATCGTATCCAATTGGCTGGATGTTATCGAGCGATAGGCAAACCTACCCAGGGCTCAACTTCTGCGACATTTAAGTATGTTTAACTAAGTTATTAAATTACTTTTTTCATCTCTTATCATTCGCTTGTTAAATTAAATTCTTTATAAGGACCGTAATTATAGCAAATAATGTCACTATCCTTTCCGGTGAAATTGGACTTAAAGTGATTACGGATGTTGATATCGCGAATATTGAAAAAATCGCCAAGAACGAAAATGTTTTTTCGTTGCTTTCACGATCCTTAGCCCCTTCAATATATGGACATGAGATGATCAAAAAAGCGATATTACTTATGTTGCTGGGTGGAAAAGAACAAAATCTATCTAGCGGCACACACATAAGAGGGTAAATTTTATTATTATTATTATTATTTTGATAAATTCATATGTATCAATATTTAATTCTATATCGATTTACCAAAATTTATGTAGTGATATTAATATATTAATGGTTGGTGATCCATCAACTTCAAAATCGCAGCTTCTTCGACGTGTTCTCAATATAGCGCCACTTGCAATCGCGACTACAGGTCGTGGTTCAACTGGTGTGGGTTTAACAGCAGCTGTTACTAGAGATAAAGAGACAGGTATTAATGTAAAACTGCTTTCTCTTTTTTAATTCTTTAATAACAATTTTTTCTACGAATTTAACATATTAGGCGAAAAATGTTTAGAGGCTGGCGCAATGGTTCTCGGTATGTTTGTTTTTAAATATATCGGAAGGATTACCTTCACAAAATAAGTAACTTTCCCAACCTTAAATAATTATAGGAGATCGTGGTGTTGTCTGTATTGATGAATTTGATAAAATGATGGATACCGACCGTGTTGCTATACATGAAGTTATGGAACAACAAACCGTTACGATTGCCAAGGCGGGTATTCACACTTCCCTGAATGCAAGATGTAGTGTAATTGCTGCAGCCAATCCCATTTATGGACAGGTAAATTGTAGTATTGTGCATCGCAGAGATTGTTTATTTACAATGCTGATACGAACTTTATTAATCTCTGGTTTAATAACAATAGTATAATATCCATAAGGATCCTGCCCACAATATTGCACTACCAGATTCATTGTTATCTCGGTTTGATCTAGTATTTGTCGTAACAGATGAAATAAACGAAGCACGAGACAGTTTAATCTCCAAGCATGTATTGCGTTTACATGAATATCGCCCCCCAAATTTGGAAGAAGGTATTATTAATCAAAATTAATTATAGTTTTTGTTTTTTTTAATGGATAAATAATATCTTATTACCTTTTTTAGGAGTTCCCATTAAAGAAGACTCAGGGCAAACTATTTTTATGGAAGAAGCTGAGAAGAGCACGGAACCTACTTCAGTTTATATGCAATATGATTTACTATCAAATGATAATGACAATGACCAAAGAGATTCAGATCAAGCAACTTTTCTTTCCTCTGAATTTCTCAAAAAATATATTCAATACACAAAGAGCCACGAAGAACCTAGATTGGGGAAAGCTGCGGCAGCCTATCTGTGTGAACTTTGGGTAAATCTTCGTAACGAGGAAGAAATAGATGGGCAAGCGAAAGTAAGCCATACAATAATATTAACTATATAATATTATTGTATAATTAAACATTCTTCATTTTTTAGACATCACCTTTGACACCACGTGCTTTAGATTCACTCTTCCGTCTTGCAACAGCTCATGCAAAGGCGCGACTTGGCAAAAGAGTTACAATTAAGGATGCTAAAGTTGCAGAAGAAATAGTCAGATTTGCACTTTTTAAAGAAGTTTCAGTTAGGGACCGACGTAAAAGACGCAAGACCAATGTTAATGATAATGACGAAATTGATTCTGATGATGATACCAATGATGATAGTGATAAAGATGAAACTAGGTATTTTATTTTGTTTCGACATGAAAATTTTTTAATGCCAAAATACTATTAATTTCATGTTTTTTTAAAGTTCTCAACAGAGTATAAGTACGCGCAAAGATAAAGGCAAAGGAAAAATGATCGAATCTCTAACTGATGGTTCATCATCTAAAGAAACAGAAGATCTTATGGATACTGATGAGACGCATAAACAGTCTTTTGCTGAACTAAATCTCGATACTCTCATTATTGAAGATAATAGAGAAATGGTTACTCCGGATAGGTACTATTTGAAATTTTATTTAAACTTGTTATTCATTATCAAGAGTTTTAATTTTTAAATGGTTAATTCCAGAATGAGATTATTCCAAGAAAATTTAAACCGCATTATAAAAGATACTCAATACGAAAATTCGATTTCGCTTGAGGTTCTTATACAAGAAATTAATAATAATTTGCCAGAAAATCAAGCGTATACCAGTGAAGAAATTAACGCGGCATTGAAGAAAATGCAAGATAGAAACAAAGTGATGATCACGAATGATATTATTTATATGATATAAGAAAGGCTAACGTTAATTTGAAAACCGCCGTTTGTTACAAAAATTTTTAAAAATTTATATATATAGTTTAGAAAGTTTATAACTGTGCGAATAATAAATTTATTATAAATATAAAAAATGCTATTATGATTCTGATCACATAAGTAGCTACGGTTCGTAATATTTTTTTAAACTTTTATTTTGGAGAATACTAATTATTCATTAAAAACAGAGGAGTACAACCTTCACAATTGAAAGCGTGAGTAGTAGATACTATATAGTATACCTTTCCACAATTGAGTCTACAGAAAGTATGGAGTACAGTTTATGAGTCAATACTATATATTATGCAAATACTACTATAATCTATAGTATAGTGATAAAAGCAATAAAATTATTATACTATTTTAGTAGTTTAAAGTGAAGCAATATACGTACTTGTAAAGGATATAAATTTGTTAATATCGTATTATTATAATTAATAAAAATATTGGCGGGAAGGTTCAATTTAAAAATCATAATAATTTGCGGATCTTTAATTATTAATTATGCTTTCGGAGAAAAAAAAAAACTCTCAGGGACTTGAGGAATCGCGGATCAAATTAAACTGTAAAAGTGCCGAAATGATCACCAAGTGACCTAAATTGTAAATGCAAATGGCGTGGGTATATCATCGTGTGGGAAAAAAATTTTAATAATTTAACATGTGAGCAATTTAATAATATTATGTTGATAAGTGGCGAAATACATTTCAACGCCCCGCATTCAAAATCTCCATTTATCGATAATGCAAGTTAGTCAAAATTGTGCGTGTGATGCAACAATTCCAAAAATAACATTGTCTTAGCGAAACCCGTTAATATATCGTTGAATTCACTAAATATATTTATGACACGATAAAACGCGAAATGAACCCTTTTAAATCGTTATTATCACCTTACAACCATTTTTCCTTTTCAGAAATTCAGCCAATTAGATTTTTTTAAATTGGATAATGTTAGATTGACATTTACTGCGGCATGCAGGTATAACAAGGGAGATATATATTTGAAATCGTGGCGACGTTCAAATGATGTTCCATCAATGCAGATGGTAAACCGGTTTATTTATTTTTTATTTTTTTTTTTTTCTTGTTTGAAGTCCTGTTTTTTTTACTCGGAATTTTTAATGTTGTGTTCCTCTTTGCTTGTGAATGAAAATTTCCCCAACAAAAAAAAAAAAAAAAAAAAAAAAAGGAAAAAAAAAAGTTGTTTATTTTAAAAAATATAAATACATAACAATAATGACATGGTATCATATTATATTTTCCATGTAACACTTGAAAATAGTGACACGAAAAGAAGCAACAAAATGTGAACAGAATTTTAGAAAAAAAGAAAAAATTTGAAGGCAAGATGACAAAATGAAAAACCGAATTAAGCAAGGTTACAGTATTACGACAGAAATATAAATAATTTGAATCGAAAAGCGGAATAATTAAAGCGGAGTATTTGAAACGGATTAATGCTGTAAATTTTTGTGATCCAAACCAAAAGTATAAAAATACGTAATGTGTAGCTAAAACAAACAGAAACTAGAGTTGAAACGAATGACGACTTTTGGCCGCGAATAGGAACTTTTGGAAGGGTCCAGACCCAAAAATTTTGGATCTACAATGTTGTCGTCTATTTGTAGGACTATTTTAACAGGTTCAATAACTTGAACTTGTAGTTACCATGTGAATACATTCTTTGAAACAAAGTAATACACGGACAAAACCAATTTGAATTACCGCATTATCAGTCATTTTAACAATGTTTAGATTTTTATTGAAAAGCCACCGGACAAAAAAAAAAAAATTTTAATTTTATATGCATAATAAGATATTATACAATAGATAAATATTCGGAATATTTTTTTTTTTTAAAAAAAAAAATATAAATTAAACTGTATATTTCTGATCAATGCAGTGATATAAATTTTTATGCAATGCTTAAAATAATTAATTTTATAGTAGATGACCACATAAATTATGACAATGAATGACAATTGGATGCGGAAATTAAAAATGTAATTACTGCGCATGAAGGTGTTAATTTAATATCCAAAACCGAGATTGTCGAACGTCCGGACTGTAGCGGGAAAGTCTGAACTTTAAATATAAAGTGATTTTCCAATTATGGAAAGGATGTTTGTGTGGTTGAATGATAGTTACATACTTACATTCATAATAAACACGAGACCCCAATAAATTTGAAGAGAAGAAAAATTGGCTTAGAAAGAAAAAAAAAGCAACACAAGATTCTTTTTCAATATGCAAGCCATTCATAACACAAAGAAAAAAAGAAAGAGATCGATTTCAATTTTTTTAGCCTTAATTGATATAGCATGATACATGTAACAAAAAACCTTCCCCTTGGCATGTATGCCTTTAATGCATTTGACATCACAATCTTTCTGCAAATTTAAAATTTCGAGTAAATTCGGTGAATTTGTAATCATTTTTATCGATTGTCAGCAATACGTCCAATCCTGTACATATATTAACCTATTAAGGTTGAAAGATATTATTTATATAAAACTATAAAAATGAAAGTTTTCCCACCAAATAAATAACTTTCCATCAATATAAATATAAATATATACATATATATAAAATATGTATATATATATGTATATATATATAATATATATATATAATATATTATTTTAATTATTTAAATAGTTTAATGTTTGTTTACTGTGATGTTTGTATTTCTAATTTGATCAGTGATATATATGATTAACGTTCGTTAAAGGAAAGCTTTGTTGTCACCAAAATTTTCCCCTTTCTAATTTTTTTTTTCTCCGACCATTCTCTGATTGTTTGTAAAAATAGCCGCATTCAAATAATAGATAAGAACTAGTCAAATCATAATATTTTGTATAACATATAAATTAATTAATAAAGTATAAACGGAGCCAGTGGCGCAGTCATCAACATTCATCGACCAACCGTGTCAATTCGGTGAATTAAAATAGCGGGTCTTTTAGAAATTTGCCGAAAGTACAATAACAAAATGGAGAATTTATGCTGTGTACTCTTTTTGAATATCGTTAGTTTACTTTTTATACTGTAATATACCTCCTAAATAAAGCGAATTCGCTATTTGCAATCGGTGTAACTTTTTTTTTTTATTTTACATAATTTTATTTTATTTTATATTTTATTTTTTAACAGGTGCTTATATCCCTTTTTTTTCCCGTATAATTTTATAGTATAGTACAAATATTACATTATAACAAATATAACTGCTTTTTAAGTATATTATTTTTTCGGTAAACAGTATATCATCACACCAAATTTCACTTTATTTTTTTTTTCTCTTCCCCTTTTTTTTTTTTTTCTCTTTCATATATATATATATTTTCACGAAAAAAAAAATTTATTTTCAAAATGGGAACACCACGAAGAGCGTATCCTTCTCTATCACCTTATTCACTAAGTGATACGCATATAACAGCGTCTCAACAATCGCCTACATTCCATTATGATTCAAATGACCGTCAAAGACTATATACTCCTTCTGAACATCATTACTCTTCATACTCTAATAATCCCAGAGTAAGAACTAGTGCCGATACAAGTACTTCAAAACAAAGTAGCAGTATGGGTATGTTGAATTCGGGTTTAGGCGTTGAAGAGGGAGGCTCTGGAACAATGAAACGAACAAATAAAACTCATGTACCAAGCGCTTGTGTCAATTGTAAGCGAGCACACCTTGCATGTGACGGTAAGTTGTTGAATTAAATTTTACTGTTTACGTATTTTTTTTTCTTTCTTTTTCCATATGTTTTTTTTTTTTTTAAAAAAAAAAAAAAAAATTAATAATAATAATTATGTAAAAAAAAAACGAAAGAAATTCGCTTGCAGAAAATACTTCTTTTGTCGATATTATTAAAGATTCATAATTAGTTTAATTAAATTCCTTATTTCCCTAATTAAGTTTCGACCCCTTACATAAATTATGTACATTCATCATATATCCAATCACTCGGGTTGTTTGTGTATCGGAAAATTTTCTTTTTTTTTTTGTTGAATCGGAGATTAAATTCATTTTTACTTTTCTAAAGTTTACATTTCATATAAATTCTTTTTTTTAAAAAAAAACCATTAATCATGACACGTTTTTACATCTTGCATAATTATACATCGTATATATATGTTTTTCTTTATTAACAAAAAAATAATTTTTTTTTAGTGTCGCGACCTTGCAAAAGATGTGTGGCCCTTGGAAAAGTGGATACTTGTATTGATATTAAACATAAAAAGCGCGGAAGACCAAAGTTGAAGGATAAGAAACCTCATCCATACAATACTCACGCAACTGCAGATGCAAAGACTTGGGTTCAAAATCCACAATTTCTTCCTCCGACTACTACTAATCCAAACCCAAATCTACATCAACAAAGCGATCAACCTCCAAATTCCTCTACATTTATTCAGACGACACAACACTCATCTTCCAGGCATCATTTACATCATCATAACAATCATAATCGTCAACATTCAACACCATACATAAAATCACCAAAATTCACACCTAGACAACAAGCATATTCACAACAAGACAATACACCTATTATTACAATGTTTTTAGCAATTGATAATATTGCTTGTGCTAGAGTTTCTGATGAATGTCTTGGAATAATGGGTTATTATCCGTCAGAATTGGTTCATAAGACTTTGTATGAATATGTACATGCTCAAGATAGGGAAAAATTACGAAAAATGATTTCATCTTTATTAGATGATGCGAATCGATTTCATAATCAAACCACTCATCATTATCAATTTTCGTCTCCTTTATCCGAACCGGTAACAACCGAAGATCCAGGATTTTCACAAATTAGTCCTGAAATTTTACAATTACCAGCTCAAGGAGGTCAAGTAATTGAAATTTCAGACGTCTTGCATCTGAAACAAAGAATAGGTCCATATGATTTGTACGAAGTGAGAATGTATTTGGGTGGTGGCTTTTGCGCAGATTTAACACGTAAAGAAACTTGGAATAAGTTGTATATTGTCTCACTTTTCAAGCGTATCAAATCTGGAACTTCTTTTTTAAATGAAGGGTCAAATTACGTTCAACCAAGAATGAAGGGAAGTTCAGTTGTTGGTGGGTTTCCGACTCAAATCACTTCACCACCAACGACTACAATTGATCCCTCTTTGTTAACCATGCATACTCCAATTAATAATAATAATAATATTGGTTCACCTAATTCGAGTTTAGGTGGAGGAAGGTTAGGACTTTTAAGTCCCGTTTTATCACCAAGACAAATTCCCGAGATCGGGCCAGCACCTTTATATAACGAAACAAATCATTCTTCACATACTTATTTCGGGCACAGAAAACCTCTTCACCCCTACAATTCACATGATCATTTTTCGCAAGATCGTAATGTTTCTGAAACATTTTCTTCATTTGTTTCACGCCCAAATCCGATTACGCCTATCATATCTCGACATGAACCTCTTGTTTCACCTCCAACTTGTTCACCTTCAGGATCACAATCACCGTTTTCATTCGAAAGGCGACCATCAGCATTTAATTCAGTTAGATCTCCTATTCCTTTTTATAACGAAATAGAAAACAAATCTTTAGATCCTCCATCATATACCAATCAGTCAAATCGTTTTCATAACAATAATGATGATAATGCTACTTTTCATTCACATCAAAATGATCATGATGAAATATCTTCGGACAATTCTCTCCCTACGTTTCGGAATAATGGGCGAGTAGAAGACATGATGATCTCTCCTATACCGAGAAAAGCATCATCACATGTGAGTGCGGTTGGAGATGATTCTGCCTCAACAACAAGGATGAGTGTAAATTCTTTATTATGTAATTAATATCATAATTTCAAAGGTTTTTTTGGGAGGTGTTAGGTTATATATAATTTGCGACGTAATTATGAGAAAGGGAATTGATAGTTTATACTGGTGCCCTCCTCAATTTTTTCATGATTCTTACTTATACAGCAGAATTAAAACATGTGATTTGAAATTTAGGTTTTTGGATGAGAGTTTTTATATATATATATATATTTTTTTTTACTATTATATATATACATATACATATACTTTGGAGGGTGTCTTTTTTTTTCTTTAAATGAGATTTTATACAAAAAAATCTGTGTAAATTTTTTTCTTTTGTGTGTGTGTGTTTTATTTTCTTTACTTTTTATTTTATCACAACAAAACCTCCTGATTTCAGCAGGTGAAAAATTATTGGATAAGTTATAGATGGTGAATACTGAGCGAGATGGGCTTTAAGAGATATTATTTAACGGGGATAATATAATAATGATATTTACTTTCCTATAGAATTCTTTCTTTTATTTATAATAGCAATCAATCCGAACAATATGATCAATATACATTCCTTCAATCCCTATGGTCATTCTTTTCATCACATTTTTTACAGTACTCCCCATAAAAATATTTATTAGTCCGTCGATCGGAAATAGCCCATTTTGCACATGATCTATCATTTCAAAGTCACTTTTCCAATTTTTAAAATAGTTTTTTTCTTTGTATAGAAATTTTTTTTTTCTTACTATTAGATTTTTATATATAATTCTATATTATTATTATATATTGATCTTCCTTTTTTTTTGGTATATTCATTGTATTTTATTTATTTATTTATTATATATTATTTTATTGCATATATTTATTATTATTATTTATTATTTATTATTATTATTTAATTTTTTTATATTAGTGATGGTTTACTATGAACGTGGTTTGTTTTTGTGATAAAATTTCTCTACGAAATTTATTAAACGTTTGGGGATATATATACATATATTATTTTTTTTTTTAAAAAAAAAAAAAAAAAGACAAGATAGTGTTTTCTTTTAAATTGTACACTTTCATGATAGTTTTCCAACTTTCCTTGTAAAAAAAAAAAAATTGTGCGTTGCAGATTTTACGCAACTTTTCCTTATATTAAAATTTTGCTTGACTATATAATAATTCTTTATAATTTTTCATTTGGTATTAAAAAATAAAATTTTAAAGTGAGAAAATTGTGATACAACAAACGTTTGAACTTAAACATATATGCAGTACATCAACTTGTAAACAGTTCTATGAAATTTCATCATCTTTGGTAGAATTTAGATTATGTAAAGATTATATAAGATTATATAATATTATTAATATTATTATAACTTTGATTTGTCCGAATAAATCCTGTGTAAAATTAAAATAAATTTCGGAAAATCGTATATATATTGAAATAAGTTTAAAGAGTGACTTATTGCATTAAAAAAAGTGATTTGTCTTTAAACAAATGCAGGCAATCTACGCTTATTATAGTTGCGCAACAACCATTTTCCCTTTTACCTTTTTTTTTTTAAGGATCTTTGGGGTTATATTTGAACAATTGTAAAATAATCCCTGTTTGAAGATCTTCAAAAAAAAAAAATTTTCCTTGATTGTTTATTGGTGCTATCATAAGTGGTACGATTGTATAGATTTATATTAATGTCAAAATAAAAACGGTCTAGATTCAATTCATTGCGGATATTAAAAAAACCTTATCGGCGATTTTTTTTTATGATGATTTGATGATTTTCATTCGTTTTTCCAAATGTGATTATAATTCAAAATAAGTAAAAATAATTAACTTTTTTCATAATTTCCGATGAGAAACAGACTACGCCAAATCGATAATGCATTATATATCACTAACACACTAAATAAAATAAATGATTTACTAAAAAATTACTTTCAATTTCAACAATTTCAATCATAAGGATCGACCAACAAATCAAAATGTCTCATCTTTAAAATAATGTATTAAAATTACACAAAAATTATTTTTTTAAAAAAAAATTAATAATTACTTCGTGTTCTATAGGACTTTAACCCCCGATTATACATGCCACTTTAATCTTTAAATTCCAATTAAATTTAGATACCAAAACTGGAAAAACTAAGTTAAAATAATCACATTACCTTAACTTATAATAGTCAAATCTTTTAAAATCATTAATCGAAAAATTTAAAACAAATCAATTTTAAATAATTTTATATGCAAAAATAACATAATTTAAAACCAATTTTATTAATTGGTATTTAACACTATAAAAAAAAATATATTATTATTATATATTTTTTATATATTACTTTATTTTTTTATTCTCATTAGTTAATCTACTGACATAATTATTTCATATTATGATATTAATTAAGTAAATTTTTTTGCTAAAATATTTAAAAAATAAGTTTAAATTAGTATTTTTAACTTTAATTTTTATATTTGCAATCATATATAACAATTTAATAATTTTATTATAATAATAATATTAGAAAATTATTCTATAAAAAATTTGGATTAAATTAAATTTTAATTAAAAAGTTCAAAATTTAATAATTCTGTTGATTTGTTTAAATAAAATAATTATTATTTAATTTGTCAAATATAATAAGTTATATTTAAATATATTTTTTCAATTATTAAATATTAAAAATAATTTAAAAAACTAGTAATTTTTCAAATTTTTTTAATATAATTCATCATCTATTTTGATTTATATTCAATACTACTTTTTTAGTAAATTAGATTAAATCAATTATCTACTTATTCAGAATTTAAATTTATTTAATTTTATCAATTCAGTTAATTATTTATAAATAAAAGAAATTCTTAAAGATTTTTAAATTGGTTATAAAATTCTTTAAAGATCTTTAAAAATTTATAGTTCCTTAAAAATTCTATAAAATTTATATTAAAAATCCTTAGAAATGAAAAGGATTTCTTATAAATTTAATTAAGAAGAATTTCTAATTTCTAAAATATTACTAATAATTAGTATATATTAATATCATCTTATTAAATTATTTTTTTTTTATTTTAAAGGAACTAAAAAAACTTATAATAAATTTTTAAAATAAATTAAGTTAAACATATTTTTATATAAAACTACTATACAAACTTAATTTTTAGTTTTTATAATATAACAATTTTAAAAATAATTCAGCAACCCAATTTTTAATTTTTTTTTCAAAAAATTTTATATATAAAATTCATATGAAATTTTTTTAACTTTAAAAATATTATTTTATTTATTTTAATTTTTATATTTAATCTATTTTATTTATTTTTAACCAATTATACCAATTATAAATCTAAATATATATTATATTTAGATAATTAAATCATCAACTTTTTTAATTTATTAATTCAATTATTAATCTGATTTTTAAATAAATCTAATTAACTGAAAAATTTAGTAAAAATTAAAAATTTTACTTATTTATAATAAAGATTTCTGTAAAAAATTTTAAATTTACTAGTAATTTTACTAGCAATTTTATTAATTAGCAAAAAAAATCAAAACAATTTAATGTAATTTTCTTTATTTTCTTTTTATATGTAATTTATCATTTTATCTATATATATAATATAGTAGGATTTTCAAATTTTTTACAATATTTTTAGAACAAAATTAAATAAAAATTTTTTTGAAATTTAACAAAAACTGATTTAACTAAAATATAAAAATCAAAAAATTAAATTTATAATTTGCTTTACATAGTCTAATACTATTTATATAATTAATAAATATTTTTATATATTAATAATATTTAAAAATTGAAAAAATGTATTTGTAACAGCCTGTTACATATCTTATTTGTAACATCCTTTTTTTATTTTTTTTTAATAATAAATTTAATGTGTTTCACAAATAAAATTTTTATATGCAAAATTTAATTTGGAAAACTTTTACTTAATGTATTTAAGACAGTTTCATAGACAAAATTTTAAGTTATAAGCAGTTTCTTGAAATTTTTTAAAAAATTATTTTGTCTTAGTTATACAACTGATCTTTTGTTTTTGTTTACATTACGCCTGATCTTAAATTTTAATTGGATAAAATTGGGGGTTGTTACAAATAAGACGTGTAACAGGCTGTTACAATTAGATTTATCCTTAAAAATTAATTTATAATTTGTAGAAAATTGAAAAATCTACATTATAATTTAATAATGGTAATAAAAGTAATAATAAAACACATTAATACCAACTAATCTAAATCAAATTATAAATAAATGACCTATACTTGATATAAAACTTATTTCTATTGGCCAAATAGTACCTAGCTGCATTATAAAAATATTCAAGAGAATGGTGAACTATAAAAGATGATAGTAAGCTAAAAAAAGGTATATTACTTTATCCTATTTATGTAAGCTAACAAACTGTAATAAATAACAAACATTTTTACATATATATAACTGAAAACATTATATGATAATAAGTTTATACTAAGTTACTAACAAATTTTTCCTAATTCAATAACAAAATTTTCTGAATCTTTTGTTTTAGATTGGAATAATAATGAATTTTTGGAAGCCTCATTGAAAGATATCATTTTTTAAGTTATTAAATATTTGCTATTAAGATAAATGGAAAATTTTATTATATATTACAAATATATATAGGTCGAAAAGTGAAAAATCAGGCATCAATCAATCACCAATCAGGTAGCTGATTGGTAACTGATTGCTGACTGATTGGTGATGGTATTTGGCAAAAATGCCAATTGATGACTAATTGATAACAATTTTTTTAAATTAATTTGTATAGAAAAGTAGTACAATCATTAAATTAAATGATACTTTAAAAAAAATATACCTATTAAATTATTTGCATAATAAGTGAAAACTTTGAGCATAATATGCAATATTGAGAGTTGCTAAATACATCATAGAAATTACCCATTTTTTAAAAATCAATTGGAGGTAATATGCTTGTTAATAATAATTGATTACTATTATTACTATTAAAATCTAATTAACAAATATTTTATCTATTTAATATGAATTTTAGTCTTAAAATTCTAATCCATTAATAGATTAAAATACTTTAGAAATTTATATTATAATGGATTTCTAAATACCATTTCAATCAATGTATTTAATTCAAGCAATCAATTTTAAAAGTGTTTTCAAAAGTTACTAGAAGAGAATAAAAAAGGCTATGATAGAAAAATATGAATTTTATTAATCATTGCAAATGATTTTGAATATAAAGAATTTCAATAAAATTTCAAGGTAATAATATTATCACTTATATTAATCATATATTATATATTTACAATCATAATCAACATTATAATAGGTTTATTCAAAAAAAATTTCAAAGTTTACATAAATATTTGAACACGAGTCATATGAAATATAATAACACTAATGTCACATCCTTTTACTTTTTTTATGTAATATATGTATTTATGACTGCTTTGCAATTTACTTAAGACATCAAAGGAGGTTTTAAATACCGTTTTTGATTTATATATGAAAAACTGTCTTTACCAATTATTTCCTAAATTTTTTTAAAAGCAATTGGCAAAATCAATTATTCATAGGTAAAGTCAAAACTGACATTCAAATGCACCTTTGATGCCTTAAGTAAACTTGTAAAGTAAGTAAAAATCCATTTATTTACTAATTTTGAAGTTTATACTATTAGTCAAAATGGCAATAATCATATAACTTGGGTTTAAACATTCCATATATAAATAGAAATTGCCTTATTCAAAATAGTAGTAAAAGCTAAATATCATTGTGATTTGTGAGGTTAATAGTCCAGAATGTACAGTAATAGATAAACTAATTATTACATAAGTTCAAATTACTGAAGAAATAAAAAGCAGTTCAGAATTTTTTTGCTGACAAAAATATTGTAAATTTGAGTTCTTACAAAGTAAATACAAAAAATAATAAACCACTTAAGTACCTAAAAAAATATTATGGCAAAAATATTTTGAGTTGTATTCTACTAGTATAAAAAAAACAACATTTTTAGTATGTTTAAAAAATGGACTTTATATGTATAGAAAAAATCTGAAGGGTTTGTGTGGTATTTATTCTGAGTATAAATATGATGTACAGTTAACTTTCTCTATAATCACTTCTATTATAGTCACATTCACACCTATCCTCAAAAATCTTATATTAAAAAAAACTATTTATAATTACAATTATATAAAGAATATTATATTAAATAACTTGACATCTAATAATCGTACAAAGATGTACCATAGTTTATTAGAATCATCTTACTAAGATGAATCAAATGGTGGTAGTTTTATCCTTTTACTTTGCTAGTATTTTTATGGCAAGATCTCCCTTTACCTCTTTTTGAGGTATTATTGGGCCAGTATTTTATCATCCCTAAAAGGTAATCATACCATTAAATACTTAATTCCTTAACAGTCAGTGGAAATGTTACACTTAATATTTTCTATACTAATTATCATAAATCCATAATGTAAATCGTCAATACAATCATTGTCTTAGAATATATAATACATATATAAATAACATATGCACGTATCATTGTAATTGGGCCTTTTTTAAGGCCACTGATCAGCTGATTTCTGCAGCTGTGATTTGCGACTTGGTTTATCAGCTGATGCAAGTATCCCCTTAATACACGAGGAGAAAAAAATTTTTTATGATTAAACCAATTGTTCTAACGTATTTTAACGTATTTTAATGTCTAACCAATCGTTCCGACGCCAAACCAATCGTTCCAACCTTTGACCAAGTGTTTTTGACAAGTAAGAATATTGAAATTGCTAAAAGTTTTCATTGCTATTTTATATAATTTTTTAAATATTTTTTTTCGCAAAAAACATGTACACTTTTGTTAATTTCTTTTCTCAAAGTTTCTATCAAAGTAATCAAATAAATCCTATTCTCACTCCATCTCCTTCACCAACTACTTCCTCCACTTTACATGAATGTACGGTTTGTAAGGCTTCATACAGAAGTAAATCTGTTTTAACACGACATAAAACTATTGTACAAAAATACAATACGCAGCGTGAAGGGTTGTATACATTACCTCTAGAAGCAATAAACGAGTTCAAAGCACAGCTTATTCACGTTATTCAAGGTAAACTAAAAGATCATTTTTCTAAGTCAGGTAGACAAACTATTTCTTTACCTTGTCTGGAAAGTTTATTTTTTGGAGTCTTTGAAGGTTATATTCATTATTATAACTATCAGACTGGTAGTTATAAATGTTTTTTCCAAGGTCCAGACGCGTATACACAACTGAAGTAGATAATTTATTTAATAATCCAAATTGAGGACGCAAATTTTTTAATAATAACCAGCAAACTTTTGTTGTGTTATTTGATGCGCAGGCTGAAGCAGATGCTAATCAAGAAAGTCTTTCTGATCAACATGGTAATCGGGTTCCAAAAAATAGGCTAAAAAGATTTAACTTGCTTAAATTAACGGTTGAGTGGAAATATAAGAAAAGTAAAGAAGATGCAAAAAATAATAGAACTTCGGCAGGATATATTAATTTAAAATTTTGTGCACAACAAATCTGATTATCATAGATGTATATAAAATATTCATTAGAAAAACTAAAATAGAGTTTTAGAATTTATTATGTATTGTATTTACTGTACATGAATAAAACAAAAAAAATATTTTTTGTACATACATGAATTTTATTTTTTTAATTTTTTAACATGAATATGTTGTGGTTTGGAGTATTTATCTATAGTACCCTTTTGAGCAAAATACAACGATCTATTTTCATAATGTAAAATCTCAAAAATAGCTGATTTTCTTTCTATACCCTTTCTGCCATCTTTCATTGTTTTTCAAAAAAATGCAGAAACTTGATCGTGATTTTTTTTTTCAACAAAAGCACATGAAAAAGCACTTAATCCAAACTTCTGATGTTGTTCCATAAATTCAGGTAAATGGTGAACTAAAACATGCATGTAAGGTGTTACATCTTTTGGACGATATAAACCCATCTTGAAAGTAATAGTATTAGGCTCACCTTGGAAGGGAGTAAGAAACAAATCTAACTATTGCTTTACCTGGTCTGCAAAGTGACTTGGATTAATTTTTTGAGATTTCATATTATTATAAAGTTCATAAAAATTTCTCCATAATTGGTTGATTAAAAATGCACGTTCTTCAGCAAAAACAACTCAAAAATTAAAGTTTTTTAATACTTTTTCCTTATCTTCTCCCATTAAAGATGTATAAGACCAATTTTGCGTTCCCTGTTCCTGCCAAAAATTGAATGAAATTAAAATCCTACGCATTTTGGCAAGAATCTTTGCTCTTGCTAAATCATTAAATTGATTTTGTGTTTTGAGTTCTTGTAGTACTAAATCCCATAACCTATCCCAAATTCGCAACATTATGTGTAACTCGTTTGGAACATAGTGACTTAAAGGAATCATTTGAAGTAAAGGAGATTTAACATGCCCTGGTGGTAGCTTTAACTTAATTTGATCCATAGTTTTTTCAATAACACAAACCTTGTGTTTATTTCCAATATTCTCTTTTGTACAAAGGCACCAAGAGCAAAAATGTTTTGAATTGGGAGCATTAAAGCCAAGTACAATTGCCATAAATTTCTAATCACTACTAAAATATGGATTGATTGTCCATATTGTACCATTTGAATCTCTTAATCCATTCAATACCAAATCATTTAATTCGTTAGATATTGGTTCTATCATTCTTTGTAGTAATTCGTAATTTTCAGTTCCTGAATATAAAATAATTGTATAATGATAATCAGATTTATGCAGGTTCGCAATATTATCTAATATTACACATGTAATAATCACATGTTTAACCTTACATCCTACGTTCCTCCCATCACCAGATATTCGTAAATTAATAATTGGATTATCAGGATTAATAACATGTCGATTTATAAGATCTGGAAGTATAAAAAGTAAGATATCTGTAATTCTGTGATATCCAGCTTTACCAATATACTTCAAAACTTCCTCTACGATTTCTGGATCATTAATATCCAGATTTTCATTAATTGGAGTAGGAGATAGTTGATTTGATATATTTAAAATTGATATAGGAATTGTATTATTCATTTCCTCATTAATTCTTTTTTTTGTTTTATAGATAGTAGTTTCACGTGGTAATTCAGGCTGTAATGCAGCTAGGTTTCGATATGAATCTCATGCAATAGGCCCCTGATCTATTACTTTAGTAAATGCCTCATTTCGTTGATTTTCTTTTTCTTTATTTTGATTTTCAAAACTAGCTTGAATAAAGATGTTAGCCGTAACTGTAATATTAAGACACAGTGTCGTATGTAATAGGTTGCAACCTATCTACATTAAAAAGCAAAAGTTGTAATGCTGTAATTAGGTTGTAATGCC